GACGCATGCGGGCGTTGCCACTGGGGCCTTCGGTGGCCACTGGAACCACCAACGGGGCCACGAAACGCTGTACCTGGTGGGGGGGACGCATGCGGGCGGTGCCACTGGGGCTTGGTGGAGCTCCCAATCAATGAGGTCGCAAAATGCAGTACTGGGTGGCGGACGACGCATGCGGGCGGGGCCACTCGGGTCTTTCTGTGGAGCTCCCTATGGGGCCACGAAGCGCTGTAGTGGGTGTGGCGGAAGCATGTGGCCACCCCCCACTGGGTGCCTTTGGTGGAGCTCCCTATGGGGCCACGGAACGCTGTACTGGGTGTGGCGGGCGCATGTGCCCCCCCCCACACACACACACTGGGGCCGCAGGTGGGGCTCCCTATGGGGCCACGAAGCGCTGTAGTGGGTGTGGCGGGCGCACGTGGCCACCCCCACTGGGGCCTTGGGTGGAGCTCCCTATGGGGCCACGAAGCGGTGTACTGGGTGCGGCGGACGCATGTGGCCACCCCCACTGGGGCCGCAGGTGGGGCTCTCTATGGTGCCACGAAGCGCTGTACTGGGTGTGGCGGACGCATGTGGCCACCCTCACTGGGGCCTTGGGTGAAGCTCCCTATGGGGCCACGAAGCGCTGTACTGGGTGTGGCGGGCGCACGTGGACACCCCCACTGTGGCCGCAGGTGGGGCTCCCTATGGGGCCACGAAGCGCTGTAGTGGGTGTGGCGGACGCACGTGGCCACCCCCACTGGGGCTTTACGTGGGACTCCCTATGGGGCCACGAAGCGCTGTTGTATTGGGTGTGGCGGACGCATGTGGCCACCCCCACTGGGGCCTTGGGTGGAGCTCTTTATGGGGCCACGAAACGCTGTAGTGGGTGTGGCGGACGCATGTGGCCACCTTCACTGGGGCCTTGGGTGAAGCTCCCTATGGGGCCACGAAGCGCTGTAGTGGGTGTGGCGGGCGCTCGTGGACACCCCCACTGGGGCCGCAGGTGCGTCTCCCCATGTGGCCACTAAACTCCGTATTGGGTGTGGCAGACGCACGTGGCCACCCCCACAGTGGCTTTACGTGGATCTCCCTATGGGGCCACGAAGCGCTGTACTGGGTGTGGCGCACGCATGTTGCCACCCGCACTGGGGCCTTGGGTGGAGCTCCCTATGGGGCCACGAAGCGCTGTACTGGGTGGGTGAAACGCATGGAGGAGGCGGGAGGGAGAGGAGGAAGGAGGGGGAGGAGAGGAGAGGAGAGAGGGACGCGGAGACCGTCTCTTCAAAACGAGGACCCAACACTACAGGATGGTTGGGAAAAAGGAAAACGTGGTGTCACCAAGTTGTGCTGTTGGGCCCCGAGCTGCAACAACAACGGCTCCTGCCTGATGCGTCCTCACAATGGATTCCAAACTCGCGCTCTCGCGCGGGACTTCTGCACACATTATGCAGGCGTCGCGCTCTCGCGTGGAACTTCCTCGCAATTTATTCAGACGCCGCGCCCTCGACTCTCAGGAATCGCGTTCTTGCTTTGGCCTTGTTCACGCTTTACTTGGGAATCGCGCGAGATTTTCCTGCGATTCATACAATATGTATTCACGTTTCAGCAACCCGCCTTCCCGACCTGGCCGCTTGGGCCCGCCGAGGGTCTCGTCTGGTTCTGCCACGTGCTTTCTGCTCCTAGCCCCTCTCCTGCTAATCCCGTGCTCCATCCTTTTCCCTCCTCCTTCATCCGTCCTCTTCCCCTGTTTCAAGGGCTGCACCAATTACACGCGGCAAGTAAAGAAGGTATATCCCCAGGGGGGTACGATCGAAGACAAAGAGGCCGGGTACCGAGGGTTCTGGATATACTGATTGAATGGCACGCGAGCAGATAAGAGCGAACAGTCTTAGAACGATTGTTGTTGTTGCTGTTGACTATTAATTTTAGAGGATGGTTCTTGCTGATCTCCGGAAACGGTTTCGTGCGCTCTCGCCTCGACGCCGGCTACATTTTCTTTGAAAACGAGGCTCCTGCTCGAGCGCCGGCTTGATAGTAAATGTGCGTTGTTGCAGACCCGGCTACGACGACAATGGTTCCCGCTCGATATTTCTTCACAATTTACCCCGAGGCACCCTGACCAGAGAGGAGCCCGAACTCAGGAACGGCGCTCTCGCTTGAGACTTCCTCGCAAGTCAATGAAGTTGGCGGAGGCCCAACCACGACGACAAGTGCTCCCGTTCTCTATTTTTTGACAGTTCGATACTTTCTGACAGTCCTCGAACTCAGGAATGGCGCTCTCGCTTGAGATTCCCTTGCAATTCAGTCAAGTTGGCGTTTGCCCAGCCACGACGACAAAGGCTCCCGCTGGATAGATCTTTTCTCACGATTTACTCCGAGAGCCCCTGGCCAGGGAGGCCCCCGAATTCACTAACGGCGCTCTCGCTCGAGACATTATTGTAATTCAGGCAAGTTGGTGGGGGCCCAGACACGGCGACAAGGGTTGCCGCTTGATATGTTTCAAGATGTAGTCCGAGAGCCCCTGGCCAGAGAGGCCTTCAAACTCAGGAACGGCGCTCTCGTTCGAGACTTTCTCGTAATTCAGTCCTCGACGACAAGGGCTCCCGTTCGACACTTCCTCAAGCTGTGCTTCGAGACCCCCTGGCCAGAAGCTGCAATTCAGTAGCGGCGCTGGAGGCGCACCTGCGACGACAGGGGCTCCCGCTCGACACGCCTTTTCGCAATTTATTCTTAGACGCCTTGGCCAGAGAGGCCCCCCGAACCACAGAGGCCCCAGCACGCTGCCCACTGAGGCCCTCGGACACAGCCCACAGTGGCCCCCGCGCGCCCACAGGGGCTCCAGCACGCTGCCCACGGAGGTCCTCGGACACAGCCCACGGAGGCCCAGAGTGAGCCCACAGAGGCCGTAGCACATTGCCCGCAGGCCGTCCGGCACAGCCCACGGAGGCCCCAATCGCGCCCACAGAGGCCCCAGCGCGCTGCCCGCTGAGGCCACCCGACGAAGCCCGCAGAGGCCCCAAGCGCGCCCACAGAGGCCCCAGCACGTTGCCCGCCGAGGCCCCCCGACACAGCCCACAGAGGCCCCAAGCGCGCCCACAGAGGCCCCAGCCCACATATGCCCCAAGCGTGCCCACGGAGGCCCCCGCGCGCTGCCCGTCTGGTTCTGCCACGTGGTTTCTGTTCCTAGCCCCTCTCCTGCTACTCCCTCTCCTGCTCCGTCCTCCTCGCTCCCCCTTGCCCCTTCCATCCGTCCTGTGTTCCCCTGCCTTAGGGGCTGCGTGTGATACACGTTGCAGATACGAAAGATATGCCCCCAAGGGGGTGCGATCGAAGACGAAAAGGGCGGGTATTGTGGGTTTGGGATTAGCGTGTTGCATGGCACGCGAGCACATCGGAGCGAACAGTAAAAAATACGTGTGCTGTTGCTGTTGATGGTGTTGTCGCTGATGTTAGTGTTGTTGTTGTTGTTGTTGCTGCTGGTGTTGTTGTTGCTGTTGTTGTTGGTGTTGTTATTGAAGCGTCACTTAGGAATAACAGATATGGTTGATCCCCCCTCTGGTGACAAATTGATTTTTTCGACTGAAGTGCCCCCCCCCGCGGGGCTCGCACCTTGTTTTATATATATATATATATATATGTATTGAATAAACATGTAAAACGTGGTGTCACCAAACTGTGTTGTCGGGCCCCGGACTGCAACAACGGCTCCTGCCTAATACGTCCTCACAAGTTTTTCAGGAATCTCGCTTTCGCGTGGCAGTTCCGCGCAAATTATTCAGACGCCGCACCCTCGACACTCAGGAATCACGCTCTCGCCTCACTGTTTACTTGGGAATCGCGTTATCGCTCGAGTATTTCTCGCGATTCACGCAGGACGCACGCTTCAGCAACCCGTCTGCTCGACCTGGCCGCCTGGGCCCGCTTTCCCGAACCGCCTGTTAAGGTCTACCCGCCTGATCTACCCGTCTTGTCCTGCCACGTGCTTTCTGCTCCTAGCCCCCCTCCTGCTACTCTCTCGTGCTCCATCCTCCTCCCTCCCTCTTGTCCCTTCCTTCCATCCATCCCCTTTTCCCTGCCTCAGGGGCAGCACGAAACTCGCTCTCGCCTTGGCCTTTCTCACGGTTTACTTAGGAATCGCGCTATCGTTCGAGACTTTTTCGCGATTCATGCAGCACTCACGCTTCAGCAACACGCCTTGTCGACCTGGCCGCCTGGGCCCGCCTTCCCGACCCGCCCGTTAGGGTCTACCCGCCCGCTGGGCCCGTCTGGTTCTGCCACGTGTTTTCTGCTCCTAGCCCCCTCCTGCTACTCCCGTGCTCCATTCTTCTCCCTCCCCTTTCCATCCATCCTCTCTCCCCCTGCCTTAGGGGCTGCACGAAATACACGTTGCAGGTCAGAAAGATTGACCCCCAGGGGGGTACGATCGAAGACGAAGAGGGCGGGTACCGATATACGTGTTGAATGACACGCGAGCGGGTCAGAGCGAATAGTTGTGAAGTGATCGTCGTCGAATTTTCATCTCTCAAGAATAAGGATTGTTGACCCCCCTCGCGCGGCAACCAATGTATGTTCATTTATAGTGTTTCTCCCGGGGCTCGCACCCTGTTTTTTACAAACGAAACACTGAGGATGCGGATTGCGAGTACAAGAGGGCCATGCTGAGGATCAGGAAGAGAGCTGTTAATGATGCTAATCATGATGATGGTGTGATGGTGATGATGGCGATGACGATGCTGATGGTCATGATAATGGCGTTGATGATAAAACCACTTGTAATGCTGATGTAGGGATTGTGATGCTGCTGCTGCTGATTGTGATGATGCTGATGATGATTATGATGATGGTGATGATGATGATGATGCTGCTGTTAATTGTGATGATGATGTGGAGGAGGAGGAGGAGGAAGGGTTGACGAGGAGGAGGATCGGGGGAGGACGGGGAGGAGGAGGAGGAGGAGGAGGAGGAGGAGGAGGAGGAGGAGGACGACGACGACGACAACTTCCGTATTTTACCCACCCGAGGAGATCGCGGAGGCTGGCCCCGCGGACACTGGGGAGCCCATAGACCTGGCGACGAGCGGGCGCCCGCTCGAGCGCGCGGCCGACGCGCGCTCGGCGGCCGTGTCCTCCAGCAGTGTCGCGCTTGCTTTGCCTGCTGCGCGTGCGACAGGCTCGCGCCGCGTCGGCGTATGGGGGCAATCTGGTGGGACAGGTATCCTCCTCCTCCTCCTCCTCCTCGTTCCTCCTCCTCCTCCTTACCTTCCTCCTCTTTCCTTTTCCTCCTTCTCCTCCTGCTCCTCCTCCTGCCCTCCCCGTAGCCATTCTGGCTCAAGGTGCAAGGCCCCTGGCGTAGCCAAACGGATACCGGTAGTCCGCGGTTTGCTTCCAACTTTCGGTCAGTTCGCCCTGACTTGTCCTGTGCCCTAGTCCGCCCCAGGGTCCAGCATCCATCTTCCGGTCAGTTCTCCCTGGCCTGAGCTGCGCCCTGGTCCGCTCCAGGGTCCAGCATCCTTGTGAGTTCCTCTTGGAGCAGCAACACTGCCTCTGGCCAACGGATGTCGCCACCCATCGCCGACAAAGAGAGGAATATCTCCTTGGGGCCAGAGAAGCCAGAGTGGGCATGTGGAACCTGCACGAGATTGCACAATTGAGCGTGTGGGATCAAGTGTGAATGTGGCCGACAGGCGCCAGCATTTACGTGAGCCAGACTTTCACCGCACACAAGCTGGCAATGCAGAAGCTTGAAAAGAATGGTGGTGGGAGAACCCGTGGCAAGGGTAAAGGACGTGATGAGACCGTTGAAAGTACAAACGTTCCAAAAAGCAAGGGAGCAGTAAACTTTTGTCGTTGGGAATGAAGCTGGAATCCCTGGTCTAGTCGTTTTCCAAAAACACTACGAGCACCTCGGCACCATCGACCCCATCGCTTGAAAACAAGAAAGTTTCTCACATTCAAGAAGCAGCACAAGGTGCCGATCCTGAGATTGATGAAGGGTGACTAGCGAAGGTTGCTAAGCAAGCCCATGTTTTAGAGACCCCTTTCAAGTCGATGGAGAGGATTGATGAGTTCATACAGACTCGGGGAAGTACCGAGGCTAAGGTCGCAGCCCTGCGCGATCAACAGAGGTAGTTGCGTCCGCCGCCAATTGTGCATCGGCGTGCAGCGCAGGACCTCAACGCAGAAAGGTTGTCGGTGGAGCAAATGTCGAAGGACACGGTGGACAAGAAAGATCAACATCAGAAGTTGCGGGCTTCAATTCAGGAGCGCGAAGAAAGCTTGACGGCCAAATATTTGCAAGTAGCTGAACTTCAGAGAGTTTGGTCGCATGGCCAATGTGTTATCCTCGGGGAAGGTCAACGTCCCCAAACCAAGTGGACAGCCAGAGCCAGGTGCCATCAGTTTCGACTTCGACGAGATCAAGGAGAGCAGCCCAGAGGCCGAGCAGTTCCGGTCCAGTGAGTCGTGAGAGACGCTGCAGAAGCGCATTCGCGTCGTACCCAAGCGGACGACCACCGACGTTGAGATGGAGGATGCCGGAGCTGGCACTGGCGCTGATGGCGCTGCTACTGGGGATGGATGGCGTCGGCCTGGGAGGATCTGCAGGATCTACAGGCGACGATCCAACCAGAGTCGAGCGCAACAGCGAGATCATTGGGTTGTCCACCGAGGAACGTGGGAGCCTGTGAACAAAGCGCCAGAACTACAACCAAGTTGGAGGAGCCCTGCGCCAAGAAAAGGGCCCGGCATTCCTGGCGATAGTGGGCGTGGTGATCACGGACACCATTCACGTCAGTCACCAGTTTTCGCGCTGCCAGCCGCGTAGCATGGATGGACAGCCTCCCCATGGGCACCTTGCGCCCTTGCCCCTCGGGCCCGTCCTGAGCGCCTCTCGCTGGCCGGCCTCGCGCGGAAAACGCTGGCGTAGCCCTCCGGGGCCTCTGCGTCCACGCCGCGCATCCTTATTGCGCGGGTTGGCTGCGAAGCAGCTGTCTCGCCTTCGCAGCCAGAAAGTGCATGTGGCATCGGCGAGCACGCGATTGAATCTTGTAGTTGCAGCGGCGCGTCAGTCGCCATCGCCCAAGAGTTTGGGCGCGTCGATGACCAGATCGAAGCTGTCTGGAGCTGGTCTCACGTGCGCGGCTGGAGTTTTAATGGCGTTGCCCTTTTACTTGTCTGCATGGGCTGCGCTGAGTGCTGGCGCCGCAGTCCTTGCGCCCAGTGAGCGTGGCCTCAGACCGGCGCAGTTGGGCGGCATGAGGTGAGTGAGCACCGAGTCCAGCGCGCGCATGTCGACTTGCCAGGGCGGCCCTCTCTCTCCACTTCGTCAACCTCTACGTCCACCCACGCGCGGGCCCACAAGGTAATAATGCTGCGCTCGTGGCCGAGGCCGTAGCCGAGAGCTTGGTGGGCCCGTACGTAGCGGGTGGGGATTGGAATATGTTGAGTGGCGAGGTTGAAAGCTGGGCTCGCGCTTGCTGGGCTCACGCCTGCTGAATTTGCAGTTTTGCTGGGCTCGCGGTTGCGGCCAATAAAAATTAACTTGCAGAGGTGGCGCAGACAGCTCAGTCGCTGATTTTCTAGACTGCAGGATCCATGCGCGCGCGCGTGCAAGAGCGCGCAAGTCGATCTCCAGCGGGCGATTGGGCCGCATCGACCGGCACGGCCGCGCGTCGCCAGCCAAGGTTACCGCGCGCAGCATTTACTGTAGACAGCTGCCCCTGCTTTGCCAGCTAAGCCGCCCTTCGGTCTGCAGGCGCCCCTCCCAGACTGGGGGATTGCCGGGGGGCCGATGGAGAAATCTCTTGATGACCACTAATGATAAGGCCGACCCAGGGGTAGTGCATCCTTTGCTTATAGCTAGAACGTGTTCGCTCAGCTCGCTCCTCGCTGCATCGGCGCGTGCGCGGCGGCCGCGAGAAATAATTCGGCTTGCCATTGGCGCCGGTTTGCCCCGTGCTGGCTTAGCGTCGAACGCGCCGTGCCCGGCGCGAAGGAGAACAGCTCAACGGCGGAAGGTCGGCAAAGGCTCCACAACGCAGTAGATCGCTTGACGCGTCTGGCAGATGTTGATGCGATGCCATATTTGTATCAAAGATTTATGATAGCGGAATCAGCGGCTTTTCGTTGCAATGAATATCCAGGGCTACGAGTGGGCGCCCGCCTCGATAATTCTGGAAGCAAGGCGCGCACGTCGTTACGCGATGACTGCGCGAGAGAACAGGTGAACCAGTTCCTCGATGGCATTGCAGACAACGTTTCGCGATGGCAGCAAGGCCTGCAAGGGTCAGCCTGGGGGGGGGGGGGGGCAGACCAGCTTGAGCGATCGGTGTGAGACATCGAGCATGGGGGGGGCTCGGGGCCTATGCGGGGCCGCCGAGGTTCGCAGCATTGTTCTGCCTGCGCTTGTCCAGGGCTCAGTGGCCCCGGCGCCGATTTCCATGGTGTCGCGCGGCGCGAGCTGCAGACGTATCGCAAGTTCATGGCGATCCACCGCCTCCCTGCATACTGTCGGGGTTCCTGGTCGGCCCTGCCTTCCGCGCGCTGCGCCAGAGGAGTGGTGGCAAGTCATCCAGAGTTTGGAAGTCCACGGCCGGGTCGCTGGATCAGTTACATGCGAGACATTCCCTGTGTTTAGACGAGGCAGGTTTAGATATTCTGGTTTGTTTGTGGCAGTGATGCGAGGCGATTGAGCTCTTGCCCGAGCAACTCCAGCGGGCCCTCGCACCCGCGCTGCCGAAGCCAGACTCGGGGCACAGGCTCGGAGCGCAATGCGGCGGCATGCGTCGCATGTGGCGGAGGTCGCGGCGATTCGCGAAATATTTGTTACTGGGGGAGGCGGGGCGAGGGTTTTGGGGGGCTAGCCGGGGGGGCCGTTCGGTGGGGCGCGCGCGGGTGCAGGCTCCGCGAGCTGAAGCGCACGTTGCTTCGAGTAGGTGCAGGATCCTTCCCATGGCCGACTATTCGACAATTGTGAAGTTATCCCTTTGGTTCAATTCAGGAACAACTTATTGGAATTGTGCGCGCTGCATTTTTGAGGCTCTTCCAATGCGTGGAGAGCTCCTCGTGCGTTGAGGTTGCGACGGCATCGCGCTGGTGGCGGAGCGCATGGCGCACTCGAGTCGCTGGCAAGAGACTGCTTCAACGATGTGAGCATGCGCGTTTGTGTAGCTTCAGGTTTTGCTGGTTTTGTTGGTAGCCAGCCGCCTGTAGTGATCTCCGCGTCGTGCATTGACGACTCTGAGATACAAGTGCCCAGCGAAAACAGGAAGCGCGCAGCGCGCCTGGCGATTGAGGCTGGCCGTGCATATTATCGAGCGAGTAGTAGGACACACGCTGCCATCAATGGTGAGGTGGCGGCGATGGCCAATGATATCGAGCTGGCGCGTGCAACTGTTAGTGGTGTCGGGCGTGAGCCCACCTTTGCAGCACTCCCAGGCGCGTGCTTCGGTGTCGATGATGCCGCTGGCGCGAAGCGTTCTGCTGCGCGCGCCGGCGTAATACTGCGTTCCCGACTGCGGGGTGCGAGGTTGCGGCGATAAAAGATTGGCTGGTTTATGGCGCGGGCCCCCAATGAGGAAACCATGCAGGGGCCCCCTAAAGGTATTTGCGCGGGTGTTGCTCCTGCTTCGTCGCGTGGTTTGGATGTTTTGGGTTTCTTGGACGCGGGCGCCAAGGTCTCATGGGGGTCCAATGCCGCGGCCAAGGATGCGTTGCATGGAGAATGGGGCGCGCGTGCTGCTGATGGCCCTGCTCTCCAGCGGCGTCGACTGCGCTGGAGTCCCAGGCCGCCCCCGCTCGCGCCCAGATGCCGTTCAGCTCTGGGGCCAGGCCAAAGCCAGCGCTGCGAGGGATTGGAAGTCCAGTCGTCGCCCCCTGGCCCGCGCCACCTTTTGGCGTCGGGGGCGCAGTGGGTTGCCCATGGGGGATCTGTTTTAGACGTTTGCAAGACCCCCCCTTTCACCTTCTTGGCATTCTTCGCGAGGGGCTTCAGAGGGAGGCCGAGCTTCGTTGTGCAGGGCGCCTCGTGCGTGCAGGTGATTGGAGAGCCACTTTTGATTTGGCGCGGGGGT